GATTTGGGGGTGGTTCTGTTATGGTGTGGGGAGGCATCACTGTTGCTGGAAGAACGGCTTTACATGTTGTTGCAGGGCGTCATACAGGCCAGTACTACCGGGACAACATCTTGGCAGTCCATGTTGTGCCGTTCGCACGACGTCATGGCCGCCGTTTCATCTTCCAGGATGACAACGCTAGATGTCACAGGGCCAGGATCGTTACAGGTTACCTCCAACAACAGAACATCACCACATTACCTTGGCCAGCACTGAGTCCCGACCTCTCCCCCATCGAGCATGTCTGGGACATGCTTGGACAGAGGTTACGTCAACGTCAACAACGTCCTGCCAATGTCCAAGAACTTGCTGCTGCGTTGCAACAGGAATGGGACAATCTGGACCAAAATGACCTTAGACGTCTCATTAGGAGTATGCCACGTCGGATCAATGCTTGTTTGGCAAACAGAGGAGGATTTACCCGTTACTGACTTGGTTGTGATGCTGCGGTAACTTTGCTGTTTGACCCCGGGTATCATTTTACCCTTATAATGGTCAGTCTGTGCCTTACTTAGTCTAACGATCATTTGGAATAAATCGATGAATGTGAACTTCATTTCATTTTGTCATTTGTTTCTTCGTCAGTTTCATTAGGTGACTTTAATAACACTTAAAAATCAAATATCCCCTACTTTTTTTGAATAGTATATAATAGGCGTTCTTATTGATGTGAGGAATTAGCCAATGAAACGATCTGTTACGGTAACTTCTTGGTGTTCTCTGAGCGTAACTGTGGGTAAACCCCTAGAAACGTCAACGCTGATTGATTAATCAATGCTTGACGTCATAGGTCAAAAGCCGCTCATTGACCCTTGACGTGAACTCCCGCTTGGCACACATCTTGTCAAAACTACAAAGAGTGATTACTTCGTTCAGAATAAAGTGATTTGAATGAAACTTTACATACATTCATTATGCATTATCTATTTTTGAGCTGTCATAGCAAGAACAATCAGTTCTTTATCTAAATCTTACATAATGTATCTTTAACGGTCATTGTCCAATCTGATTAAAATATAGATCTATATTTCGTTTCGTTTTTTTTTCAACTTTCGATGGCCTCTACTACGTGAAAATCTGACAAGTTGTAATGGAAAATCGTGTCATGGGTCATTCGAGCGGCTTTTGACCCTATGGCGTGATAAACTTGATTAACCAATCAGCGTTTATATACTGAGCGCCATGGAAAACGCATTACTTTTTTTCCCCAAATATTTTATTACTAGGTGGTTTTGTATATATAATATTATACAATACTATGAACTATTGTTTCACACAATGCTCCCAAACGCAAAAAATATCGCCCGTGTGCAAAAAAAAAAAAAATTGCACTAGATGCACATGAAAAACCCAATATTCACGTTCAGCATTGTGTGTGAGGCCTTTAAAAGCATGTTTTCAACTTAATGTGCAGTACATGGACTGTAAAACGTCAATCTGTCGTAATTTGTTGTTGGACGTGTGAAGGAATCGAGCTAGAGATGCCGAGACTTACTGAAAATCAACGGAATGAAGCCATAGGAATGTCCAGGGCTGGCATGTCTACACGTGCTATTGCCAGACACTTCAATTGTCATCAGTCCACAATTGTAAAGTTGGTGGAACGTGTTCGAGTTACTGGATCAACACGTGACCGTCAAAGTCCTGGTCCAAAACGCGTTACAACCCAGGCTTCATTCTGAACATCTGAGACACGCTACCTGCGGAGAAGTATCTCAGACACAGTCAGTAGCCATGATATCCATATCACGTGATCTACGCATCACAGGTCATGACAATGGCGTCAATGGGTCATGAGGTCAACATTGTAAACAATAGGTTTATCTTCAGCATTGTGTCCTTTGCACCCATAAAGACTATATAATTCGTATAGTCCCAACATGTTCTCTCTTCTTCCGATGATTTTTCACAAAAATAACATCTACAACTCATAGAATTGACGTTGTCTTCCATGACAGCGTCTGCGAGGGTTGTTCATAGAGGCCGCCATATTGCACAATTTTGTGCGTCGGTCGGGTTTATTTCAGATATACACTAATAGTTAATGTGTTTCAGTTCTAAAACAAATATTTTAAACTTTAACGCAAATTTAGAAAATAGCCAAATTCTGGCTGGGATTACTCCATCTCTCTCTCTCTCTCTCTCTCCCTCCCTCTCTCTCTCTCTCCCTCCCTCTCTCTCTCCCTCCCTCTCTCCCTCATTTCATTTCTGTATTATTTTGATTTTGTGTTTCAGTTAATTTGATATAATATACGGTTGTTGTTTATTGCTTGCAACGTCTGTGTTGTTTGTATCTTGTCCGCAGGTTTGTCGTATGGGATTTCTTTGTGTGTATTGCGGTCGTCCTGCATTTACTATTAGCGCATCTTTGACGAACAACCAGGGGGAGGGGGGGGGGTCACAGTAGTGTGCTTTGTCCTTTATCAGAAGATGGTGGGATGGGTTGGGCATTCAAAGAGCGAGATAATGATTTAGACATATGTAATATCACAATGCGATCCTATTAATTCATAATAAAAATTGTACAAATTGACATCAAACGAGATGTTGGATTTCTCTCTTTAGAAACCTCAGTGTGTATGTATGCCTACGTAATTTGGAGACGATGATGACATCATGCATTGTCAACTGTCAAATTTCCTTAACAGAAGGGAATCGCGTGGCTAAGTGGGTAAGACACTGGCTCGCTAGCCTGGAGGTCGGGTGTTCGATCCCTGCATTGGCCGAGAAAGTTCATCCAGATTTTCCGGCGTGGTTTCCCCTTGTCAATGATGCAGGATGGAGGGCCTGGCAAGGACAGCTATCTAGTCCTTCGGATGGGACGAAAAACCGAGGTCCCGTGTACACATTGGCGTGCACGTAAAAGATCCCCTGGGAGTTGGAATTCGATATAAGAGTAGGCCGTGTAGCGCCGCTGCCCGGGCAAAATTTTCCCCATAGCACACTGTATGGCGTATGCCCGTCTTCATTAACCCAGGTTAGGAGCAGAACAGTAGGACGTTAAACCCCATTTCATTTCATTTCCTAAACAGAAATCTGGCAAACCTCCTGCAAAAATTCCTGGATCCGCCGCCCCTGACAACAACAATATAGTACCTAATCACCGACCATTAACCAAGGCAAATGAAACTTTTCAAACCATGGCTTCAGTTGTTATTTCAAGCTTCCATCATACGTCTGCATTAAGACCCAAAATAACAATCACCGCTAAAATCATGACGTATCTCACCGATTAATGTTGTTGACGTATGTCTTCAAAAACAGTTTTGATGAAAACCACTGTGTTTATTATGGCCGCGTGCGAACCAGGTCCTCCTTATAGAAACATACCCAGCGGGCACACAACGTTGTGACAACATTGTTCAGGGGTTGTATCACAACGTCTGAAATAGGTCAGCTGTAGGTTGTTTTGCAACAAACTCTTACGTTGTGACAACGTTGTACGGACGTCAAAGCAACATTGTCACAACGTTGTGTGGTGGTTGACGAAAAGTTGTGACAACGTTGTACGGACGTCAAAGCAACATTGTCACAACGTTGTGTGGTGGTTGACGAAAAGTTGTGACAACGTTGTACGGACGTCAAAGCAACATTGTCACAACGTTGTGTGGTGGTTGACGAAAAGTTGTGACAACGCTGTACGGACGTTCAAGCAACATTGTCACAACGTTGTGTGGTGGTTGACGAAAAGTTGTCACGACGTCAGAATTTGTTGTTTTTCAACGTTGTGTGGTGGTTGGCGAAAAGTTGTCACGACGTCAGAATTTGTTGTTTTGAGGTTGTATAAAACCCAGTATAAGCCCCATCCGAACTCCCTACAGTTCTGCCCCCACTGGACTAACGAAGACGGGAATAGGCGGTCGGCACGATGGAAGTTAAATTAGGTGTGTGTTCGGGGAAGGGGGGGGGGGTGCTTAAATGCCCGACAGATTTGGGCCACGGTTTTGACATAGTGAAACGATACGCGAAGTTTCAACACCCTCACTCAATTAGAATCAAAGTTATTGTGTCCCATCACAACCAATCTAATTGCTTCTTTCTGAATAAAATCAGTATCAATTAATAGGACAGTACGTAGTTTCAAAACATTCAATTCAAACGATTATATTACAGTCAATATTAATGCTATATACAGACCTTACCAGACCAACATGGTGGGTTGGATGGACGAATGGTTAGCACGCCCGCGCGCTGTATCTTACGGTCTGTCATTGAGTCAACTGGCGGGGTTTCGATTCCCGGGTTGTACGTGGCAAGGAGTAGGATCGCCTGTCCAACCTCCCACTGCTAAAGACCCCTACGCGTAAGCGATAAAATTGAACCATGTGTTAGTCCCTAGCTTGTGTCGAGTGGACGTTAAACCACATCTCTCTCTCTCTCTCTCTGTCTATCTCTCACCAGACCAACACAAAGGGGGAGAAACTAACCTAATTAGGCTTCTCTTTAACATCTTCATGGATCTCTGACCGAGGACGTGTTTCATCTACAAACTACTAAATAAAGCCATCAATTGAATGCTCATAATATTGGCTTGTTATCCCTTTGATTGGCTGGGTGGGTTTGTCCAATACATGCTGGTGTGATCAGCAAGGTTAATGACGTCTTGGGTCGTCTGCTTGACCTCACGTTACGTTCCGTCTGATGCACGCGACTCTTTAATCAGAATGCGCGTGCGAGGAAGCGTCAACAATAAGAATACTGGCATTACTGGTCAATATTCTAAGACTTGACTGACAATTATCGATTCGTTCTCGTAGTAGCATCTCGTGCTTTGAGGAATGGCGAGACTTTGGTTTACATGTTGTTCTTGAGCAATGAATAGAAAGGTACTGTGATTATGGTGTACAACCGACAAGAACTGTTCGACAGGACGACTGACTGTCAGCATTCGGTGTACACTTTTACTTTTTTCCAAACCCGTTCTTTAACAATAGCTGTTCGCTGTGTTTGTGTTACCATGACGATATCTCCCTCCTGGGAGAGTGATTTGTTATTGGATGGAAAATGGTTGATACCTGCTGCACACGTGCTCAATGACAAATGTTTGGATTAAAGTAAATGAGACTTAATGTTCGATCTTTCTCTCGTGGCGGGAGTAACATGTTGCAGCCGTGTATATTATGAGAGAGAATGAGAGGATCAATGACATCATATCCGACTTTCAAGCAAGGTAAGTCATTATATATATATATAGAACTTTTATTTACGCATGGAAACACGATTTATTAATTAAACCGTAGTTGATGTCACGTCACGTCGCTTCTGAAACAACCAAGCAGTATCAGCGCTCGTGTTTGGACCGTTTTAACGAGTCTGTTTTTGTAGTTTGTGGCAGTGAAGACACACATTCCGACTCATCACGAATTTTAGTTTATAAATGATTGTCATTAATTGAAAGTTAGTGTGCGTTGCGGGGGGTCTGTCGAGGCTTGAAATTAAGGAACTACGTATGTATTAAATATTGCGTCTTTTCGTATGACATCAGATTCGGATTTGGTTTTTACGGGCGATGCGAAAATGTATTGATAACGATGGTATATTTAGTGTTGGGCTGCAGTTTATTTTGTTGACTGAAACCTATTAAAAGCGCGGATTATATAATAATACGACAGTTCGGGTAAGACGTGTTTAGCTTCCTTCGTCACATGATGTCAACATAGCGTCACATTATTTGACGGATACCGACTGTTTATATCGAAAAATTAGATATAATGGTTTAAACATTCCTTGCTATGAATGAATGAATGAAGGAATGAATGAAGGAATGGATGAATGAATGAAATGGGGTTTAACATCATACCTCATTCCTTGCAAACAGGGGGTTGGACGGCTGAATGGTTAGCACGTGCGCGCTTTCTTTAAAAAGACAGGTTACACAATGTTTAGTTTAAATTTTTGGTTCCTGTTCGGTTACCCAGTCAAAAAACACAAGGAAAGTAAATTCCTTAACATCGTTTTTGCATCGTACAGAATAAACATAATGAAGTCTAGGCTCTTTTTCAAAAAGCACGTGCGCGCTATATCATAAAGTCTGTCATTGAGTCAACTGGCGTGGTTTCGATTCCCCGGTGGTACGTGACAAGGATTAGGGTCGCCTGTCCAACCTCGTGGGTTTTCTCCGGGTCCTCCGGTTTCCTCCCACTGCAAAAGACCCCTACGCGCAAGCGATTTATGGAAATAAAATTGAACCATATGTTAGTCCCGAAATAACCTAGTTTGTGTCGAGTGGACGTTAAACCCCATTTCTCTCTCTCTCCTGCAAATACTCTTTATCTCATGGGCAACAGAAAAGACGTAATTTAAAACGAGAATTACATATTTTCTAATAAAGTCAAAACATAATTATTTCTATGTCTTTTGCTCAATAGGTTGTCAACTCACTATCATACGATCATAGGTATCATTCTCACACTTAAAAATCATTCACCCCGGAAATAATAACACAATTACCTCCCTTGTTTTTCTATCCCCCCCCCCCCCCATGGAATAGCTATCTTCAAATGTTTGAATTTGAAGTTGAAAATGATATTTTTGACAATTTCTCAACTTGCAGTAGTGAATTATGGGATTAATAGGATTATTCTTTAACAAGGTAGGACTGTTTATAGATACCATCTATTTTAAGGCTTTATTTTAATACATTTTAAAAATATAACTTAAAAATATGAAATTATCGCTTTAATAGTTATAATGTATGTCACACTGGACGTCATGATATAAATGACGTCACTAACGTATGCGCTGGGTGACAAAAAGGCCTCGATTGTAGACCATTCTACGCTAGTAGCTTGACACTTTATCCAAATACTTTTCGTCTCTTCGACGTACGTACCTACTGTGTGGAACTTTAAAAAAAAAAAGTCTTTATCTGTGACCTTCGACACAGGATTGAAAAAAAAACAGCAGGACGTTCAACCCCATTCATCATCGATTACATAAACACACTTAATTGTGCTTCGTAATTTCCGCGTATTTACATTGGTGTTAGTTCCAAAAGATGCCACCGTCTTCAAGGGTGGATCTATTGGGAGGAGCGGGGGCGCACCAGGAGTACCCCGATTTCTGACTAAAAAAGTCCCATTATAATTCATTATTTTAGAACCGGATTCGGGGGGGGGGGGAGGCACTTGGTCTCCGTTGTGCGCTTCGGCCTCGCCGTCCGTGCGCTCCTGCTGCCGTGCGCTCCCGCTTTCCATAGTCTTTGGAATCACCCTTGCTCTTTGCTACCAGTTCCTGTTACCCATTCCGAGGTCGCTGTTGATATCTGGATTATTGCTTATTATTACAGGTTTTCGCGTTTGTGGCGCGCTGCCGCTCGCGCATTTCATCACTCACCTAAATCCCAATATAGGTGGTATTCCCGAAAAGTCAGAAACTTTCTGAACATAAATCTCTTGTCCTCGGCGGGTGTTATTGATGTTTACATGTATTTACTTCCCATTAATTAGCTCTGTACAGATGTCAATCGCGGTCACACAATAGTTTAATCTGTTACCCATTTTCCTTCGTAAGAATCGGTCACGTGTACAGGGTCGTAAGAATCGGTCACGTGTACAGGGTCGCCACTACGCTATTTTAATAATTTTCCAAACAAAAGAAACATTCACTAGACAACTGAATGCGCCTAACACACCGTCACTATACCCTAATTAATTAGCTATTAATAAACACCCGTTAACTTATTTTCTGCTAATCCATAATCCACGACTTTTGCCAAGACTCCATTTTGAAATTCTCGGAGGAAGATGCTACGCTTTGATCACCACTTTAGGCACCACGGATCTGCCAGATACGGCATTTCACACTACAAAAATAGTAAAATGGTTAATTGTGGCGCGAAAACTTCAGGCTTGACACGGACGTGAATAACAAACAAGACGTGATAATACGTGGAAGTCGACTGCCATGCTTTTTGACGAGTGATTTTAGCTATAGATGAATTTTAAAATACTATTTTATTAACAATGTTTAGACATTATTAAATACAAGTATTTAATTTTGTATGGTATAAACGATGATAGTAATTGTTGAGGAATATTATTAACATGAACTATCGAGGTGCATCTATTTTTCTATTTTATTTAAAATATGAAATAAGCATAATAATAGCAATATTATTACAGTGTTTTACTCTTCACTCCCCCCCACCCCCCGCCTGCTCAGCTACATAAAAATAAATTTGTAACACAATACTTTTTATGAGAAAAGTGTCACGGTGGTGTGCTTTATCCATTATCATCAGATGGTGGGATGGAATGAGTATTTAAAGTGAGAAATAATGATGTAGACATGTGTTATATCACAATTAATGCTTTGCATCAATGAAATTAAATCACAAATGTCATCGTATTAATTCATAATAAAAATTGACGTCAAACCGGGTGTTGGATATCTCTCTTTAAAAAGCTAAAAATGTATTTACGCTAAAATGAGGATAGAGAACAAGTATTTCTCAAAAACTGTCTCAGGTACAGGGCAAACCCCCTCCTGCAAAAATTCCTGCATATGATTGGCGGTGTCCCTAATTCCAGGAGAGCTTTGTTCAGCTCCCCAGGATTTTGTAGACAGGCACTTTTTTTTATACAAGGCTAAACATTTTTCATTTTATCATCCGAAAACAGACACAATTACTACTGCTTACTAAAGATAAATTATGGGAGATAAGATAAAGAGATGGCAGTTCTCACTATAATAGTTAAAAAAATAGATAATGTAAAGGGAATATGCTGAAAATTTCAGTCAAATTGATCCATTCGATGGCATGGAGGGTTGATTAATGTCTTTTCATGTTAATAAATTGTCTAATTATTAATTTAGATAACATTTTAGGCCTAAAGGAAGAACTACAATAGCCAGATTTAGCCCTTGCATAATGTATGTTTAATGAGCAACGTTTCTATTTGGCCTCTCTAAGTCATTATCAAGCAATAAGGCTGGACCTATTTCATTTTATTACTCTGAAACAGATCAAATTTTGTCTTTGCTACCGTAAAGTATTACTCGAAGCCATTAATAATAATTAGACCCTAATCTCGATATTGTGATACTCATAATTCCTTGTATATTGACGCCATGATGGAATGTTTCAATGTCTCCGTTCAATATTAGACGACTATAAATGTTTACAACACGGTAACTAAGCACGACTGCCATTTTATCAATAATTGAATGATATATTATGAGAAAAGTTCTATAAAAGCCGAGGGCTGTTTGTCCAGGCCAATAAATGTAATAATTCGTTACATAGACTCCCTTATTAAACTATTTATATAAATTACTCACCCTATTTATCGTCTGTCAATCATTCCCCGTCAAGATGGCCCTGAGGAATTTGTGCATCTAATACAATAAAATAGGGTTTAGCGTCGGTACCAACTGGGGTAATAAATGAAATGAAATGAAATGGGCTTTAACGTAATGCTTTTCTGCTCCGACAGGGCTAATGAAGACGGGTATACGCTATATGCTCTTATACCGAATTTCACTAGACCAAAACACTCCATCTTGTGGAATGTGGTACCACACAGGCATATAGGGGGGCTGAGGATAAATTTTAAAAAAATCATTTTTTGTTGAACTCGTGTGGTGAAAAACACCACCGACACAAAACACTCTATGGAAATTATTCTAAGTTGGAAATCTTGTGGAATGTAGTACCACACAGGCATATGGGGGACTGAGGAGAAATTTAAAAAAAGTCATTTTTTGTGGAACTCTTGTGGTGAAAAGCACCACAGACAAAAACATTCTATGAAAATTATTCTAAATCTTGTGGAATGTAGCCTATTTATTTTTACAAGTCCAATATCTTGTGGAACTCTAATTTCCCCCAATTCTTGCCATATATGCACATGGTTGTTGTTAAAATTCAAAAACCTATTCGAATGGTTTGTGGTATCAAGTAAAACTGATAAAATTTACAATACCAATGATTTGTTTTGTCAAAAAACCTGAAATGTTTGACCAAGGGCGAATCCAGAAACCATAGAAAATGGGTGGGGGTGCACAGGCGATGAAGCCCTACGCTACAAAGCGCACAACAGGGAGTCCCGGAGCCCCCCCCCTCCAATAGATCTGCCTGACAATGAAATCGATTCATGCATTCTATTGTGTCAAATTACTTGACATCTATTGATTCAGGTTGTCATCGTATTTCTTTCTGAGGTATAC